ACCTATTAATTGTGAAAGTGAAAGAAAATATCTTACATCAACAACAACGATCCAAAATTATATATGATTATCATCGTCAAAATCCTGAATATAATTTGGGTACAACAGTTGTAACTCGAATTTTTACTACAAGATCCAAATTAGATCCAAAGTTTTCTGTTGATCCAAAAGTTATTATTAAAAAAGGTCATCCACTCTATTGGGTTGAAGATATAGAAACTAAAACAATATCAAGAGTTCATATCAATGATATAAAACCATTATTGATTCAATAACAATAATTATTTTATGTCTTATTCATCGTAAATGAAAATCAAAAAATCATCATTTATTTTGATATTATAATTTCAAAATTTTTGTAATCGTGTTTCAATTAATGGACATGAATTTTAATCATGATTATGTATGACAACTCTTGCTGGACAAGATAAAGTTATATATATATTTGTCGTCGAATTGAAGACTCAATGTTTACGATTTGTGGCCAAAATCGTAACTATTGTGTTCTTAGTATAATTATCACGTTTACAATGAATTTTAATTATACAATATCAACACCGAATGAATTTATTTGATATATTTATCCTTAGCATTAATAATTCATTAAATATTAATCACTGAATTAATTTGACTATAATTTTATCGGAAATATTTTTCAATAATTAACGTCTTATTTTTTATGCTTTATCGGACAACGAATTTCTTGATGATATTATTCTTTTACAAACTACACTATTAACATTATATATTATTACTCGTATTATCAAATATATATATTTACAATTCATTTCACTCTTAAACAATTCTTATATTATTGCAACAACAAAAAAAGCTGTATAGAATATCTTTTTTTTCATCAACTGGGGAGAGTGTTATGATCCGTGTTGTTAACACGAGATCATATTGTTTTTAGGAAATATCTTCTTTGCTTTTTCTTCTCTTTGTTCATTTTTCTTTCTTCTCTTTCTTCTTTTTTATTATCTATGAAAGGCGCGTTTTCAGTTTTTTCTGTCTTTTGTGTAACGAATTATGAGCGTGTATTTTATGTAAAAACAAGAATTCAAAAGAAGAAATATATTAAGTTAAGATTGACCTAAACAATTGCTAATTTTCTTTATTTGATTTTTTCCCTTTATAAAATGTATTCTGGTTTCAATTGTACATAGTGATTGAAAAATCTATATCTATATTTTTCGATTAACTCTTGCAATTGTTATTATTTCAAACTGATATTTGAAGTGAATTCCGTGTCATAAAATATCTTATGTCCCAAAAACGGATCACTTTTAGCGGTAAACCGTCAGTTTCAATTGATACTGCAGCTCATTATAAATTTCACCGGTTAATCGTGGTCCATCAATAAGTTTTTCGGTGAACTATAGAAAGTGAATAGCTGCAGAACGAAAAAAAACATGTATCTGTACATGTGTGTCTGTTGCATCACTTATTTCGTTTGCTTGCTTGTTTAGAGATAAGAATCAATATAACGATAACGAGGCTTAGTTGAGAATTAATATTTATTTATTTGGAAGTTTTTAATTTTAATTTTTTTTTCGATTACTTTTTTATGTTCAATTTTTGTAGATTAATTCTTTTATATTTATGTTCTAAGGTTAGTTCTTTTGTGATTATTTTTTATGTATATTTTGTTTTTACCTCGGCTTGTATTTTTATTTTTGGTTGAAATAAAAATTAGGTTAGATGAAAAATACATGTGAAATTTAAGTACAGATATTAACGAAACAAATAATCAAATAGTGTCGGTTAACTGCACATAGGCATCGGTTAATCGCGGTTGTTCTCCGGTTTTCATTACCCGGGTATTGTTAAAAACATACAACTTTCATTTTTAATCTTTTTTCTTCATGTAATTTGTCCATTTATATAAATTATGTTAACGAAAATTCTACTATCTTTGCTTTGTATTAGTTTGTAAAAAGCTCAAGGACAACACACAATGATTCTACATATGAATCATTGGATGTTGCACTGAGCAAGTATGTATGAGTGTATAGTTAAGATAAAAAGAATGTATATTTTTTGTTTGTTTCTGTGCATATTATATCGACAACATTAACCGATCCTTTTTGCATATGTCCTGAATTGATGGTGCATGCACATCGTTCGATGAGTCATGAACAATACTTTTCTTTTTACATTTTTAAGTTACCGTTCAGGGCACACAACGACTGCAACAACAAAAGTTAATTATATGAGTACTTTGGACTATTTTCTCGTATAGCCATTTTTTTTTCTTTTCATTTAATCTAGAGAATAAAAAAAAGTGTAAAAAATAAATTGTAATATTGGTATTTCTGCCTAAGATG